AACTGAAGAAAAAAATGGCTGGAAAAAGTGGCCAAGGGCAGAGGAAGGGAAGGTGATAATCTCTCGAGCACAGCCTTATGAAGAAAAAAAAAAGTTACTCAATCCCAATGGTAAGGACTTTTTCTGTCCTTTTAGTAAAAATATTTCTTCCTCTCCTTTAGCCTTCATGCCATAAAATGACTGTCAAATTCCAGGCCTTAGTAATTTCAGTGGTTCTCAGGCTTACTTCTATGAACTTTTACTTCCATTAATAGTTTCACTGGAATCATTGAGTCATGTAAACATTTGCAGAACTGAGCAATTTCCATATGACTGTGGAGAAAGGGCAATTCATAAATTAGCAATTTGGTTTCAAATCCATATTGAATTTATATGCTGTGATAAGTTAATCAAAGCATACAAAACACATAAAAACTAATGTGGAAACATATCAAAACAAACATCTGAAATGTAGGTAGGTATGACTAAGATATTACATAGCATGTGAGTGAGTCTGTGTGGTATCATTACAAAGCTAGGATAACAATACCAAAACAAAAGATTAAGAAACTATTCTCCTTCCCTTCTTTCAGATACTCTGGAAATATACAGGGCTGAATGTCTTTCTTTCTTTTTCTTCTTATATCTAAAGTGATTTTGTGTATGTGTGACTTTCAACATTAACCATAGTTAAGATCAAGTAAGGCAGCAGAAAAATACCAAACATTCATTTTCTGGGGAAGCAATTTATAAAGCACAGACACTAAAAGAAAGGAAAAAAAGTTGCTTAGAAATTACAAAGATGTGGAAGTTTCTAAGTTCATACTTTTCAAAAGGTAGAAGCTTAAAAGAGCTCAACCACACCGGAATTTAAAAGAATTAAATTCTTTTCAGCACTAATTTAAAATAATACATCAAAGTAAGTTCCTGTTTCAGATTTCTTCATTAAAGTTGCATTGACTTAGCTTACCATAATACCATTCCCACTGTTTTTTGATATGTAGACAATGAATTTCCATCAGTTTGTGTCTGTGCTTTTTCTCAACATTATGGGGGGGGAAGGGGTGGGGAGCTGGGGGCAAGTTTTCCCTTTTCTATCAGGTAGCTCCAGCTCACACATCTGCTCCATTGCTGCAGCAATAAAGCACAACAGATGTAACACAGACTTAAGAGTATTTAGGATTCAAGGGAGTTCCACCTGCAAACCATAGGAGGCATGTGTAAATCAGAACCAGCACAATGCACTTACAGTGCAATTTAGGTATTATGCAGTATAATAATATTTCATAGACCATTATTTTGTCTACTAAATTTCTGACAATCTCAAAGTTCTTCAAAGTAGTGCTGTGCTTAAGCCATGTCATAACTCTGACTTTATGCTGTTTGCCACATGTACAGCAAGGACTGCTTGTAGCAGCACCTACACTTACACAGAAAAAACAGAAAATGTGTTGATCTTGACATATTACAGTAGCTTTCTGTATTCTTATACTGTAAAGTCAATTAATTATTAATGAAATAACTTAACTCCTCCCTCACAGCTAATGCTCCCAACTCTTTACCTATTCAAGCACAGTTTTCCTCAGATTCCCATGAAGTGTTCCTCTAGAGGAAGAACACTGTCCTCATGTATACCAAAAATGTTTAGGCAGGTACTATCAGCATAATACAGGAATTATAGCTCCTACACACTTGCCAGGTCTTTGCAACCAAACTGACATGTTTGAATTAATATCTTTTCAGGAATAGATACGATGAATAACCAAAACTGTTTAATTCAGCTAGTGCTTAGGACACACTGTATCTAAGGCAAGTGACTAACCTAATGAAACTTTACTTGGACACAGGCTGACAAAGATACAGAAAAACAGGAAGACTGAAATACTGCTCTGTATCTATATACACATATTTCATATGACTAGTACTTTCCATCTGAGAACTACTGCTCCTCCAAAGAGCTTTTGAAACATTTCAAGAGTGAAAGAACAGAATTAGAAACCTGAATCTATTAATTACTGAAAAACAACCAGTATAACATTTGTAACAGTCCTAAGTATGCTTAATGTCATAAAAGCCACTAAAGGCTAGGATTTAAGATAAAAAATTCTTATACTCTGCACTGAAACAGGACTAGTTGGAGAGATTTAATATGCAGCATTAGATGAGCTTTTGCACTTTTCCAGAAATACTGTTTAGAATTTGATAGGTTATTAAATAGATGCAGCATACAATTTGAGGAAAGCAGCAGAAATATTGTTAAGAAAGGCTGATATGGTAACTGTATAAATAAAAAAGGATGTAGAGGTAAGGAAAAAAAGCTGTTGCTCTCTGTATATAGCAATAGTAAGACCAGTAAGTCATGACTTATGAAAGCTCTTTAAAGAAGGTTGATAAATTGTAGAAAATACAAAAAAAAGCCATAAAGTTATTTGAAGACTGGGTAAAATGTCTTGCTGTGAAAGACTGAAAAAACTCAATAGGTAAAGCTTATCAAAAAGACAGAAAGGACCTGATTAGAATTTAAGTAGTTGCAGAGAAAATACAGCTTACTGCAGTGAACTTAAAAAAAACCAAAAACACAGCAAAACCAATTCATTGGCTACAAGTTGCACTTAGACAAATGCAAATATGTAACTGGATGAGATACTGTTAGGGGTAAGGTACCTAAAAACTTGAATAGATTACAGTTACTGCGTAAATATGGACCAACCTCATTGGTCTGATATCTACAAAATACATATGAATGCCCTTCCTGTTCAGCTGCATCCAAACAGTGAGCTCAAACCAGGGCTAACTGGCAGAAAATTATGGCACAAGATACGCAGTTTATGTAGTGGCCTCCTCTGTCTTAAAACACTATTAACAGAATACCTGAATTTGCTATGAAAACAGCAGTAGTTCTTCAGGTATAGTGAAGTTTGCAGTCAGCTGCAAAAAGTTCTAACTCAAGAACTCATAAATTCTTATTAATGCACAATTTTATTTCCTGGTGCTAAACTGAAAATCAAGGACCAGACAAGGACCAATAGTAACAGTTAGACCTGGTTTAAGAAAACGCTAGTTGGATTAGAAATATATTTAATAAATTGGAAAGAGCAATTATTGTGAAAAAAGAATACCAGAGTTCTATTTAGAAATAGATAGAACTCATATTCCAAAGTGAGTAAGTAGCTCTAAGTATATGGTATTCACATCACATTGCCACTGCCTACAAAGCAACAACATTCACAAAAAAGTATACAAGTAGATTCCTGAACACAAGATGAGATACTGGATTATTCAAACTGGAAGTTTAAATAAAACACCTGCAGACATACATATATAACTTAAAACCAAATTTGCCTTTGCTAAATCCATGCTGACTACTTCCCATCACCTCTTCTCCTTCATATGCTCAGAAATAGCTTCCAAGAGGACATATCTGACTATTTGCCCAAGGACCAAAGTAATGCTGCCTGGCTTATCCCTGTCATAATTGCCTGTTTTTAAAATGGTTGCAGTAACATCCTCCACTCAGAAGATCTCCACAGCATTTCAAAGATTACTGACAGTAGCTTTACAACGACTGTATAGTGAAAAACTGTACAGTCAACTGTACCCTACTTGCACTCAGGTCTTGCAAACAAAAAGCAGTGAAAATTAAAACATGGGAACCAGAAAGAAATAGCACCCGAGCTCCACCTACAGGATGAAAACAAATGTAAACCAAACATTTTTATTTACCAAACTATGACTGTTCACCCTGAAGCCTTCAGATGATCACTTGAAGCCACTGCAACTATACAAATTTCACGTAATGCTGTTAAATTTGATTACTATTTCAATGATAACAAACTCTTCCTCTATCTGTACACATTCCTTCATATAGACAGTTGTATTATACTTCGAAGCTTAGGTGGAAGTTTTCAAATAAAAAAAATTATAGAGCTGTGGAACTTCCCTAACAATCTGCCAGAATTAGTGGGAATTTTTTTTTCCTGAAGTCTCCTATCTAACACAAAACTGTAAAGTGTCTCAAATTATTTTTTTAAAACATCCTCAAAAGCTTCAAATGCATATTGAATTAACTAAAAATTAAATTCACCATTTGAGCTCTCAAAGAATGCCTACATTTAAAAGCAGTACTAGATCTCAGTACCATGAATCTGAGAAGGTGTCTATTATAGTTTCCATATTCTTCTGAAACAGATAAGCAAACTTCTGACTTTACGAATGGATTTGTAATAAAAGAAACAAGACTGCTACAAATTAATACAGATCTGTAGAAAAACCCTTACATGTTAAAAGACAGTGCTTTGCAAAATATTTTTAGAAGTTCAATTATTCTATTAGCACATATAAATACCTGATGAGATGAATAATTGTTACGTATCAGATGTTTCTTGGCCCTCTGATACGTTAGTAGACATTACCCTTCAAGGTATGTACGGTGGATCCAACTTTTTCTTTGATATTTGCACCTCTCACAGCTATGTCTGCTCAGATCAACATACACTTGGACTACAGTGGGTGGTGAAGTCCCATGAGAATATTATCACTAATCTTCAGTACACTTACAGAAAAGTTACTCTTACAGACAATAAAAAATTGGTAATGTTTACCTTCCTTTATCTCATGAAATCTGAAAGATTGTAACACCTTATATATAACAAACAGTACCATCCCTTTGATTCACATGTCAGAAGATGCCAGACAATTATTGTGAAATACTGCTACAGAATCATAATAGTCAGCCTAAAGCTAATTTAATAATTTGGATACAGTGTTACACTACTAAACATAGACATATTCCAACTCTTCAAGAAAAGCTCCAGATGGTATTTATTGGTATGGTATTAATTGCAATGTTGGAAAGCCGGTAGATTGACTATTTCCTGTTATTCTCAGTGGTGAATGTCCATCAGGTGGGAATAATTTTAATGTAATACTAATGAATCAATGTAGTTAACAGCAAAACTGGAAATGAGCAGAAAACCTAACTGTAAACAAGTTGAAAGAAAGAAAAAAAGCATTATACTTACCTGCGACTAGTTGTTTTCTTTTCTGTCTTAGTTTCTTCATCTTGAAGCTGCTGTTTAGCATTTTCACTTGTATCAATCTTTAACTTCTTGGCAATACGTTCTTTTATTTGAAACCTCTCACTGGTAGCAGCATCTCCTTCTACACTATCAGCATCTTCATCATGTTCCTCTTCATCCTTTAATGATTTAAAATTATAAAACCCCTTCATCTTTAACTACAGAATGTTGAATACATGGAAATTTTTTCTTAGAAAAATAATCCATTACAAAAATACCCCACATTTTAAAGCTGTATTTAAAAGCAAACTTTTAAAATAAATATATCCTTATTTGCTTCAGATAGAACAAAACAAACAAAAAAATACAATAATTAAATATTTTTTCATACATAAATTACATCTTTTCTGTATGGCTTGAAAAACTAAAACATTCTGTTCTGGAATGTAAACCCTTGCAGGTCTGCAGAAGACGTCATAGCAATGTGGTACTAGACTGGTATTTGTATCCAGAATTTGACAAATATAGAAACATACACTCAATCTTCCTAGTTGGCTGGCCTGTAGTAGACTCCCCATTATGATGTCCCCTGTCCCTGCACTCCTTTTAATTCTGACTCATAAGCTCTTGGCCAGCTCCTCATCCATCCCCAGGAAGACTTGCATGCACTCCGGGATGGAGCATACATTGTTTGGCATAGGATACAATAAAATTTCCCCAAGAAAAAATAAAATATATTTCGTTTATCTTAACTGATAAATTATTAGGGATATGAAGGGATAACAGAATTCAATGGCAGGGGCAGAATCCAGAAACAGAATATGAAAGGACTGTGTTCATGGTGTTTAACAGTCAAGGATAAAGACAGATTACTGGTGGAGATTTGGCTAGGGTTTAGGTAAGAGCATTCCACTGAAAGACAAATAGAATTGGATAGGAAATTTTCTAGAATACAAATTGACACCACTTGAAAAAATTCAATTGCTAAATAGTTAGCTAACTAAAAATTATAGAAATCTGAATAACAGGAGGGATATTGCATGGAAATATTTTAAAATGGAAAAGACAAAATTTTTCAACCTGTCCAACTCATCTGAACCTCCTACTTCCCACATCTTCCACTACCCTCACTCTGCACAGGACCTGATCAGCCGTCTTCAAGAAAAACACTGACAAAATAGGATATAAACTTCCTCCTCAACCCCCTCCCCCTCCTGCAACTCTACTCTTTTCTCCTGTCCAGTCTCCTCCTTCAGTCTCTCTACTGTCTCATTAACTCCATCTGATCTCCTGTCTTTTAGAATCACAATTTTCTCAAGTCTCATTACCAGCTAATATGTTTAACACAGTTCCACCCAGAGTGGGCTACACGACAGCCGAGGAGGGAAGCAGCTGTTCAGTCGGATGATGGTGTGCCCCAAGTGATAAAGAAATGCAAAACTGCCTGCCTGGAAGCTGTACTAGTTTTTGCTGCTACTAGTAAACTCAAAGGATCTGACTCTTCAAGCGTAAAATGTATGACATTGCGGATGCAGTAAGAGAAACAGGATAATATTTAAGAGTCAGAACAGTAAGGTCAGGCACTTAAGAGAATAATAACAAGCTTTTATTACAGACTACGGATCTGTGATTAACAGGGAGGTAGGCAAACCTGGTGTCATTAGTTTAATTGCTGATCCCCTGCTCATTGGATGGCTATAAAACTACCAACATGCTGCAGCCGTGCAAATGCAGAAGTGACCCTGTGATGTGTTAACTGCACAAGAGATATGCAATATATAAGATGCAAGAGATGGCAAATGGCAAAATACTAGTAATACTTTACCAGGCTCAGATAACTGCAGTACCTGCAGGAAAAAAGCCTTCCCATCTTCTACTTCATGGCATTACAATAATAGCACTCTAAGTAATTTAAATAAATTTAAATAAATATACCTAACATGTCACTATTTCTATATTCCCCAAATCCGGTTCACTTCACAAATGGCTATTTGAACATCTGAATAATTATTAATTAAATAACATTCTCAGAACCCTTCTGACACTTAAAGGCTCTTGCACAGCTGGAATTATTGTGGACAGGAGTTCAAGAACTTGAATTCATACTATGCAATATATACTATTCAAACAATAGGAAACGGTGGAAGGAGACTGTTTTCTTCTGTTTTCCATTTTTAGGGATAGACTGTGTCTTTCCTTCGTTTCTACAGTCTATCAACTAAGTGTACACGGTAGATAGATATCGAAGACAGTAATTTTCAGGATTCATTCTGGGGAATAGGAAACTACACTCCCAGTCAAACATTACATCCTCATCTCAATAGCAACTCAAAGGGGTTCCCCCAAGACCTACAGCTGGAGGCAAAGGCATACTTCACCTAGCAACCTTACTCTGCAGCATGTATGACAAATTCATAGAATGGCTAGGGTTGGAAGATTATCAATGCTGTAATCCTATCATAGAAGACCAACAAATTTGTCAGGCGTGACGTGTCCTTAGTGAAGCTGTGTTGTCTGCCATCAATCACTCCTCATTTTCCATGTGCCTCCATGATCTTGCTGAGCATGGAGGTGTGACTGACTGGCTTACAGCTGCCTGGGTCTTCTGGTTAAATGTCACTGCTTGGTTATTCCTGTGATAGTGTTCATTAATACAATTTAAGTGATAAATATTTACTGAAGTTTTGTTTCCTTGAAGAAATCTTTCCAACAGGACTCTCACTGATACACACTGTTGTGACATACATACATGTCACTCTGTAACACATCCCTTCCCATACATCTAACCTACTGACTGAAATATCTGGTAAGCAGTTTCTATAAAGTGCAATAGGTAGTATGCAGTAGCAACTCTACCCTATGAATGCTCACAATGGTCAAACCTTAGAACTCTCTTAGTGTTTGCAGCCTTTTGTTGGAAATCTGACTGGAGCTTGTTTTCTAAAACACTGAAAGTAGCACTTGTTCCTCTAAGAAAATCTAATTCACATACAGTAAAAAACAAATACTTATTTGTAAACAAAAAAGTTACTTACCTCACTCAAATCCCTTTCTTCACTCGCTTCTTCACTAGAAGAAAAATAACCGTAACTACTTTGACCACCAGAGATTTAAAATACTGTTTAAAAAACACAGTTGTGTTACAAACTTCTTTGTTTGGTTAGCTACTTGAAATTTTTGCCAACCCAGTTATTTATATCACCCTCACATTAACATTAAAAGTATCAATTAATAGTATTTTTTGTCATTTAACTGTCATAATCCTTTCTAATTAGAAATGTTTAAAAACACAGGATAAAACCAGAGACTTTCATACAGTGGATAAGTTCTAACTGTATCTCAAGCAATCCAGAAAAAACACTTTGTATACAGTTAACAGAAAATACCCAACAAAAATCCTTCATCTTAAAACTGTAGTTCTGTTAGAGAAACAAAGCAAAGAGTATTGAAGGTTTCCCCAAAGTCAAGGCACTTTACACCATCAGTAAGTACTCAAGGTCAACAAAGAAACTAAATTTGTTGGAATCAATTACATTACTTTCACTAAAAAAATTAATCCAGAAAACTCTGTGAAAGCATTATTAACAGAAGATTATGATTTAAAAAAACCACAAAACCAACCAAGCATAAAACAAAAACACATTTAGAAGTATTAAAGAAAATATTTATATGGCACCGAGGTCTGTAATTCTGATGCCAGGCTTGAATAAACAGAAGCCGTAGTAAAAAGTGAAATGACCTACTCGGGATTTGTGACATGGCTATAAAGGGAACTGCTG